CTCTCTCTCTCTCTCTCTCTCTCTCTCTCTCTCTCTCTCTCTCTCTCACACACACACACACACACACACACACTCCCTAAATGGCAACCCAAATTCCTGAGGGAGCCAAGATCTACTTGATATCTATTTCTGTATCTGTGGGTAGTAGAGAATTTTGTCAGGTTGTTTTTAGTCCTAACAAGGCAGCATTCACCAATATAACTGGCTGTGTCACTGGTGGAGAAAATTGTATGCCCTCCCTACCTACTCATGGCTATTATGTCCCTTGCAGAGCCCTTTTCAAAAACAACAAAAAGAAAAACTACAAACCAAAAAACAGCCCTTACAGTCAAGAGAGAAGAACTGTCTTTGGTGAGATTTGGCAGAGAAGTTAAAGGACAAAAAGTGGAACTTCCCTACTGAGTCCCAGCTCTTTCTTCTGGGATGTGAGGATTATAACACCTGCCTCAGGGGGTTGTTGTGAGAATGAACTAAGATTAATGATATGGTTCAGTAGGTTAGGGCATTTCCTGCCAAGCCTGGATGACCTGAGTTCTCTCCCCAGAACACACAGGTGGAAATAGGGAACAGACTCCTTCAATTTGTACTCTGGTTTTCACATGCATTACAATACATAAATAAGATATGCTAAAAATAAAATAGTCTAGTGTGCTATAAAACATTTGATGCTAACTATTAGTTTTCACTTCTCTGTGTACCAACAAGATTTTTGTTGGGATTTGAAAAGTTGATTTTTTTAGCTTATATTTCCTTCAAATTCTTTAACTTTAGAGAAAGACAGTTGGCATTTGAAGATATCCGTCCTGGTGTTGGGGACTGAACCCAAGGCCTTGCAGTGCAGGCAAGTCTGCTACTGAGCCAAATCCCAAGCCTTCAGGAAATTATTTTAAAGTCCTTTATCCTTTCTGTTTACTGCTATGCTTTCCATCTTCAATGTGGGTTATTAAATCCACCCACAATATTCTCAAAAAATTCATATTAATTGAAAGTATTTTAAGCTTACAGAGTAATTTCATAAACACATATGGAGCATTTTATCTTGTAGAGACTAAAATTGAAAGTTAAAAATCCCCTGTTCTTTTTGGAATGCACTAACCCTAAATACCAGTTCTTGAATAAATACTAAATTTCAAGTTCTCAGATTTCATATCCACTCATTTTAAAGTTTACAATAAAGTCTGTGTGGTTTTTTAAAAAGATTTATTTATCAATTATGTATACAGTGTTCTGCCTGCATATACACCAGGTCTCATTACAGATTGGTGTGAGTCACCATGTGGATGCTGGGAATGATGGGGTTAAGAGCAGTCAGTGCTCTTAACCGCTGAGCCATCTCTCCAGCCCTGTCTCTGTGTTTTTTTGAACATGTCAATAATAAAAATAACTAAAATGTA